CCACAGAGTCACCGCAGTAGACGTTAGATGAGCGCTGTCGCTCCGCGGCACTTGTTATATTTTGATGAGTTTTTAATTTTTTTTTCTTGAAATTTGCTAAATTCAAATTTCTTTAAAAAACCAAAATTAATTAAAAATCAATCACGTACATTAGATATCATTCAGGTGTGTTTTAATGCTAAGTACCATTCACTTGAAATATAAGAGTGAAAAAACTGTGTTTCAGGCAAAGAGAACATTACTCAAATAAAAATGTGATGATATCTTCTAATGGATTTAAGACCTTTTGGGACTCAATGTTTGGAGGCTGTTCGTGAAGGGATATACCAACTGTTGATGCAAATTGATATCACACATGATGTAGATAGGGCTATAGTGTAATTTGATGGTACTAACTCATTTTTGACCAAAATGGATTTAACACCTTTTGGAAATCAGCTCTTCAAATGTGGACATACGTTAGTTATGGTTTGTCATCGTCACTGGAACTTGTCTTGACCTTAAGGTGGTGGCTCTCGTAACTCTCACACCAAATCTATCTGTGCATTGATTGAGTAATGATACATGATAATAATAATAATATGCATTTTTACAGGAAAGTCCAACTTGATGGATGCTATTAGTTTTGTACTTGGAGAACGCACATCAAACCTCCGTGTTAAAAAGCTATCCGTGAGTCATTAGAAATGTAAAAATTTCCTTATTTAAGTTTATTTGATTTTAACTAGTGTGCTGTAAGACTTAGATTGATACATACTCGACATTTAATTTTATCACTGGAGTTTACATATATATATGTTTTCTGTGTTGAACTGCAAATTAAAAATCATTATGTAATTATGTACAAACTTAATTGAATAGATTTTGATTGCCATCATTAAATTTTGTACATAACCCTTTCTGATCTCAACACACCAATACTGGTACAGGTCTTTTCTTAATTTTTCCGGGAGTTGCCATCATTTTGGGTATGGGGGGTTGGATATGTACTAATGTACTAATACTTGGAAATCCTATATGTTCTGAATTCCAAAACAAATCTGGCCCAAGGGTTTCTGTTAAGAGATTGTGAACCTGTACTGTGTGATAGTGAGATGTGCTGTGTTTACATATTCTGTATTAACGGCAGTCTTGTGTCCCGACGTAGGACTTGATTCATGGCGCGCCCGTTGGACAAGCTGTTGCCAATCGTGCGTCCGTGACAGCTGTCTACGGCGATGATGATGGCGTCGAAACTCAGTTCTGTCGTGTCATTCACACGTCGTCTTCAGAGTACAAGATCGACAACAAGGTGTATACATGTGTCTGTATAACGCTTCCACTCCTGGTGTTGGTATTTGGAATAGTGACATCTGTGTTGTTAGAACAATCAATCCTGTATATAAGGGTCAGCCGAGGACAAAAGTGAAATGAAAGTTATGGACGGATGTTCTATGTGAAGAGGCGGTTTTAGTGTATAACTGCCATTCGAGGAAAATGACGAAAGTGTCTTTTCTGCAAGGGTCAGCAAGGACAGGTGTCCATTCTATAAGGATGATTGCTACCACAGGTTTAAATGTATTCAATAAGCATGCCTTAGTTCTGTCGAATAACACTAGATATGCTGGGTTTGTGTGGGTGGATGCGTGCATGGGTGCAGGTATGTAGTATTTATGCTCCTACTGTGGTGCACATAAATGTTAACATGAACTCTTACAGGTTGAAAAGCTCTGTTACCAGACAGTCTTAACTTTGCTCCAGGTTGTGTCTGCGGCAGAGTACCAGATCGCTCTCGAAAAGATTGGAATCTCAATCAAGGCGAAGAACTTTCTCGTCTATCAGGGAGCCGTTGAGCAAATAGCAATGAAGAACCCGAAAGAGAGAACCCAGCTGTTTGAACAGATCAGCAGGTGAGGATTTGAGCCCGCTGGTAGTTGTACCTGCATTATAGTCACATGCGACTAACAGATCTCCATTTGTTATCAAAATGAGTGCTGAAAAATCTCACCGTGATATTACCACATATATAAGTTCAGGGGTCGAAATTAGCGGTATCCCGATATCCGCGGGATAGTAGATTCTTGTGTTGGATACCAGATTTCAATGATTGGTATCCTGCCAGGATAGTAAAAAAAAATCGTCAAAATCGGGATAGTGGTTGTTGAGCATATTTGCAAGCTCAGCCATATAAGCGTAGCCGATGTTGATCATAAATGTGATGTGTATACATTGTATCAAGCGAACCAGACAATGCGTCTAGACAATACGTCTGCAGTGTACTTGTCTGTGCATATCTGTGAATCTGTTTTAATGTTTTTATATACATTACATATTAATTACATTACATATTAATAATTTTCAAATGCTATTATTGCATATTTCAAAATGTTGGATACGAACATTGTTGAAATTACTATCCAAAAAATGGGATACCAAATCTTTGGGCTTTGAGTACCAGATTTCAATACCTGGTATCCCGAATGGATACCATAATAAAAATCTAATTTCGACCCCTGAAGTTTGATATGTATATATAGATGTTGCCTTACCTGGTATATCTTAGTAATAGTGGCTGTTTGCTGATCGTGGTCTAGGTCAGGAGAGTTGTCACAAGAGTACGAACGTCTAAAGGCAGAGATGGGGAAGGCTGAAGAAGATACACAGTTCAATTACCACAAGAAGAAAGGCATCGCTGCCGAGAGGAAGGAAGCCAAGTTGGAGAAAGACGAAGCGGAGAAGTATGAGAGACTGCGCACACAGCTGGTGAGTTTACGTGCATTTGTACAGGTGTCGCAAACACGTACCTGTTAACGAATGTGTTTCAAGCGAATGCGTAATATTTCTGCTGTTAATTAGGTGATGTCACGATCATCGGTTGAGCAGGGCTGAGCAAGCGTTTATTTATCAAAATCTATTTGGCATCGGAAAAGAAGACAAAATCGAATAATGTAAAACTTGACAAGAAAACTTGAAAAGGTATGAGAATCGAGATTATCATTGCGCTAGTATAAGAGTATCTATTGTGATTTAATACATGTATTTACAACAGTTTGTAAACAGCTGCAAACAACAGTAAAAGGCGGCACGGGGGGGCGGGGCCTGCGGGCGGGGGCGGGAAACGCGTGGCGGGACTCCAGGCGCAGCCATGACATGGCACCACGTGAGCTGGGTAATCACACACGGAGGGGCGTTTACCGCACACCGATGCATTCAAGCGACCGGGCCGGCGTGGGTGGTGGCGGGTGGGTCGGCCTCGACGCTGATCCGGATTGCCGCGGTAGTGTCGCCCGCCCGGCGCTTAATCAGGTCGGCCCGCCGTCTTCGGCGTTGACTTTTCGGGCGGTGTGGGCGGTCGTGTCGGAGGGGTGGCTGGCGGTCCCAACCGCGGCGCCTTGTCGGATGGCACTGATTTGGTTTTACGGCCATCAATAACAATGCCCTCGCGCGGGCGGGGTGCCCAATTGCGACACTATTGCCTATTCACTACAGCGTCTCTGAGCTACGCATACGGCACCCCCCATCCATCAGCGGATCCCGCGCATATTTGACCCGCGGGTTAGGTCTCAGAGGCGGGGGTGGGTGCGTAGCGTGGGTGCGCCCGTGAGTGATTCAGACGTGTCTGGGGTGTTTGTGTTGACAGTCGCCGCGGCTCGGTCGATCTAGCATGTTGTAGACTAGAAGTTGGGGCTAGTAGATTGTTTCCGGTTGGTCAGATGTGAATTCAGTTCAGCGCACGGCATTCAGGAATTTGGGAGAGTTGATTGTGTAAATAATACAGGAAGAAGGAGAAGTATTTGGTGGCCTCACGTTTCTAATTCAAATGAAGGACATGCACGTTTGTCCATGTGAAGAGTGACCATTGTTGAGGCACGCATTTGTCCTGAATAACTTGTGAAGCGAAGACCTGACATTTCTTTGCTCCGGCACTTTGTGATGCTTGCTGTATATGGGTCTTCGTCGTGGAGTGCTACTCAGAAATGCGACGGACTAGTCCGAGATTACTGATAGGGTGTTCTACTGATAGATGGTATAGAGTGAGCTCGGTCGGACGTTATCCCGATCTTTCCTATTGCTTGCGGTTCGCTACTTTATAGAGTTGCATGGAGCTGCTGCGGCTCTTTCCTGGGCTGTGTATTTTGCTTGCTGGACAGGCGTAGTCGATGTGCGTTGCTTGCGACGGGAGCTCAGCAGCTACAGTTACAGGCTCTTGAAGCTGTCTTACGTAATGCAGCAGTAAATTAGGGAACCATCCCAGGAGAGTGTAACAAGAGGCTCAAGGAGATGGAGAAGATATCGGCGATAGGAAGGAGAGGGTAGTAGGAGCAGAATCAGAGGAGGAAGAAGAGAGGACCACGGAAGGCGTGACGAACGGCGAGGCATGGCCGTGAGATAGGGAGCAAAATTGAGCTAAGGAGGAGTGGTGAGTGTGTCACGTTCGTATGAGATCTCTGGTCTCGGTCGCTCGTTATTCTGTCTGCCTGTCTGTTCGTTGTTTGGCTGTCTGTCTGTCTGTCTGTCTGTCGTGGGTTGTTGTCTGGTTGTTTGTCGCTGGTTGTTGCGGTCTGTTGGCTGTCTACCTATTTGCCTGTCTGTTTTCTCTGTCTACCTGTCGTCTGGTGTCTGTATTCTGCCTGGGTCTTTTCTGTTTTGATAGTATTGTGTATTCCTCATCTGTAATATCGGTAATAGTGTCGTTGGGTTCACTTATGCATCATCAAGTCTGAATCATGACATGGTTTGCGATTGGTCTACATGGGTTTATTTGGTTGCTTCATAGGGTGAGGTGAACTGAATACAAGAAGCAAGACCACCTTGATACATTATGGGCATAAAGGTGAGAAAGGACAGCTCTCACACTTCAGAGAGATTGGAGGCTGCAGAGTTAAGCGACAGCTGTGCGCGTAGGCGGATAGGTGGTATTGCTCTAATCGTGGGATAGTGTAAGCATAGCCGGTAGGGGGTGATGGAGTACGACGAGGGTAGGTGGGTCGAGGGAGTCGGAGGCGTTCTCTCTGTCGCGGGGTCTTGGATAGGGTGGTTAGTAGGTATAGGTGGGTGGCAGTTGATGGGTGGTCGTAGTATGATTACATATATAAGCGACTTACTGGTATATAGTTATATGTATTGATTTGGTGGTTGTTTATGCGGATTCATACCGCTCGGTGTAGGTTATACCGGTATGTTATTGCAAATATTTTGAAACTGCGACTATTGATATCGCGGTACGAGCTTCCCGTGGTATATCGAGGTATTTTGACGATGATGCGCGCGGGGTGGTATAACAAGAACATAGAGGTTACGTTGAATTGACAATTTATTCGTCTATATTGTTATGGGGCTCGAAAAGTATTTGCTATCTGGGCGGGTGTTATGTATATATTCGAAAAGCGACAATTGCTACACGGGACGAGTTCACACGTTATAGCGTGCGCAGGTCGCGATCTGGCCCGTTGGGCATGACACTGAGCGCGGATGGCGGGTAGCTACTGCGCGCGGCACAGAGTTGGGGGCAGTACGTCTGGCGAGGGAGGGGAGTAGCGTGGAAGGGCAGGAGTCGGTATTTATAAGCGTAGTGCTGCAGCGTGATGCGGGGGGGGTGCCGCGCGTCCGGGGCGCGGCGCGTACCGGAAGGGGCTGATGCTCGATGAGGTGGGGTGGGGGTTTCCTGTTTCGGGGTTTCAGTTTCAGGTTCTCAGTTTGAGTTTGCTGTGATCGAGAGTATTATGGTCAGAAGGTTATGCAGCTAGGCGGTCTTGTGGTGATTGTGTATTCCAGCGTCAGATTCGGCGTGTCTTTCGGAGAGGGTGTGGTTCAGTTACAGCGGTGGTGACGATTGTTACGGCCAGTAGGAGCTGTGCAGCTCATAGCGGGGCACCGACGTCTCAGCTGGCCTGGGGGACAGTCGGGGGCATGTCCGCGCGCCGCGGAAGTGGTTCGAGGGGGACATCATATCAGTGTACCCCACGAGGTTTTGGGACGACCATGGATTTTGTCGTGTGCGTGTGTGCGTGGTGTGCGTGGCTCGGTGCGGTGCGGCGTGTGGTGCGTGTTGTGATTGAAGTGAGCAAGCTTTTTTATTGTGTGAGGTAGTGGCGTCAGCTTGGGCTTCTTTCGCTTTTTTTGGTCCGGCAGGCTTTCATTTGCATTCAAGGGTGCATTTGAGATGCATAATATAATCTGGCGAACAAAGGCTGAGAAGCTGTTTCTAGAGTAAATTTAGTACTCGTTTCTTTTTATACACTTTTTGTTTTCTTATATTAATAATTTATTATGCAGAAATATCAAGGAAGCGTATGTTTATTGAAAGTTGTAGGGATATCACGTTTCACATTAGACACTATTCAGCTGGGAAGCACGAAGCTATGTTATTCATGCAAAGAGGACACTTAGTAAACTGAGCATGGGTTGTTAGTTTGAAAATGGAAAAATGTAATGTTCGGCATTGGAAATTGGATGAGGGGGTATGTATAGCACGCGTATATGGATTGATGAGCGTTGCGACACAGGCATCAATAACGCGGACCAATTTATTTTGTGATCAGCGTCACACAATGTTTGATTGGTTTTCTGCTTTTTTGTTTCTTGATTTGATGGCTGCATGTGGAACCCTTTCGTATCTTATCCGAATAGCCAGAATGGCCGTGCCTGCGTGGTGCGTGTGTGTGGTGTGTGTGTTCAGTGGGCGTTGCACAGTGGGACCGCCTCCCCTGCGGCGGCGCAGAGAATGCGATCCTGAGGCGGTTAATTCACAACACTCCGCCCCCGCCCCCTTCGCGGTGTTTGCTAATTGGCGGCTGGGGGTGGTGTGTGGTCGCCCCACAGGATTCTCAGGCAAGTTGGATTGTGGCGCGGACCCCTGACTGCACTTGCAGGCGAGAAAACATTTGCCTGTTCCTGCTTCTCAAGGAAACAGTGCAGAAATGTAAATTTCATTTCATATAATACAATATGATTGATGATAATTTAACGACTCATGAAGATTGTTTATCTATCCTTCATGCGATGGTTACATTCCAATACGCTATTGGAAGAATGATTGCAATTACGCGTTTTGTACGCTATGCATCACGTATATATTGCAGATACGGCGTGTTTAAGGTCGCTAATACTCACCCTTGAGGTATATATTATTAAGGCTAAGAGTGGCAGACTAATGTGCATATGTTGAATTAGAGGTTGAAGACTATTTCATTTTGCATTGTTCATTTTATATTTGTATACTTCACAACATGAATGATGGCTGATGGCATGTTCTAATGCACGCAGGAAGTCGCTGAGAGCTGCGGAGAAGGCAAAGGAAACTCACGAGCAGGAGATCAAAGAGCTCGAGAAGGAGCTGGAGGAGGTGGAGAAGAAGAAGCTTGATTACGAGGAGCAGGTCCAGGAGGAGTCGCAGTCCCAGGGTAGGGACATGACGCTGGAGGACTCCCAGGTTAGTCTCGGGAGTAGGAAGGGGTGGGACACGACCCTGTCGGCTTCAACTGTCAATCAGGAAGGCTGTAGGAAATATTTGGTGACTGGTAGCCTGTGTAACACATCACATGTTCTTCTCAATGACACCATGTTGATTTCCTGTGAGATACAGCTATACTTGCTGGCATATACTAGCCTTAAGTTAAATTCTGTAACTTGGTTTAGTTTTCATGGATTACTATGTTAACTGATTTATATACATCAGCATGAAAAACCAGGTGATGCCATAATAAAAATATTGGTTGTTTGCCCTCACCCGACCGACCCGCCAAAAAGGGACAGACTCAATTATTGTTATTGATTTCCCATTCTTTTTTTTTCTTTTTTTTAAATTATATCACTGTACATTATATAAATCTGTAGGCAATACATTATATGTACCAAGCAAAACAATCATTCAACGTAAAAGGTATCTCCACACAAGCACACCCGAGCATGTAGACACCATGCTGAATTTGTAAAAAGACCCCTCCCCCTAAAAAAAAGCCTACCCTACTTACCCAAACTTTTCAGCCTGGGTCGGGTGAGGGCAAACAAACATTTGTTAATTGTTACCTGACCTATCCGTTTGAGCAAAATAACCTTGCCCTCTTGGATATTGTTGCTATGTCTGTCAAGCTAGACCAATTTATATGATTTTTTACATCATTTTTTTCAAACATGATGTTTTGCTCTGCTTGTCAGTGCTGGAACGGCATCACTTACAATGTTTCGTTTCTGACCAGGTTGCAGATTATAATCGCCTGAAGGAGGAGGCTGGGATGCGGGCGGCGCGCTACCACCAAGAGTTGGAATCCGTCAACCGGGAACAGAAAACCGATCAGGACAAACTGGACAATGAAATTCGGTACGCAGTCCATCTATCATCTGCTGCATGAAGATAATGTGTGCGATTTCATCGTGGCTGCACTACCTAGACACGCGCAGCTCTCTTTTAATTCAATTACATGTACTAGAAGATTCTTTACAACAACTACACCAAGTAAACTGTTAATTACTTGGTCGGTCGGTCAGAACGTTACTTTACTAGACTAACTTATTCAATTACTCGGAGTAAACTCTATATCTAGCTATTGCAGTAGTGCATGTCATTACGTAGCAGAACTTTCTGTTGCATCTTCGCATCCATGGGTTGTCACACCACCTGATCAATCACGCTGACATTCTCACCTCTGCAGCAAGAAGAACGAGTTGCAGAGCAAGGTGAAGCAGAAGGAGCACGAGCTGGAGGAGAACAAGAAGCGCGTGGAGAAGCTGAATGACTACATCCGCACGAGCGAGCAGTCGGTCGAGGAGCAGCGCTCGCTCTGCAAGACGCTGCTGGAGGAGGTGAACGAGGCGAAGGAGAAGATCAAGGAGATCAATGCCGACCTGGACAGTGTCACCGAGCAGCTGGGAGAGGCGAAGGTAGGTGTGGTAGCTGCACGTCGCGTGTGGTAGCCACGCTGGTTTTCTGTGAGGTGAGGTTTGTACAGGGTGCATCTAGCATGTCTGAGATAGCATTGGGGCTTAAGAAGTTGTCCGGTTTCATGTGAATTCAGTTTCACCACGGCATTCAGAATTTGGAGAGTTGATTGTGTAAAATAAAGTACAGGAAGAAGAAAAGTATTGGTCTCAAGTTTCATAATTCAAAATGAAGACCATGCACTTGTCCATGTGAAGAAGACCATGTGAGCACGCATTTTCCTGAATAACTTGTGAAGGAAAGAACCTGGAACATTCATATGCCGTGCACTAGTATGCCTTGCTGTATAGTGTCTGAGTGTACTCAGAAATCGAGGGTATCCAGTAAATAGATTTTCTACTGATATGGTAAGAGTGGACCTGGTCGGACGTTATCCGCTTCTCCTATTGCTTGCCTTGTCTTTCATAGAGTAGCAGAGCGCTCGCTCCTTTCCTGCCTTGTATTTTCTTCTGACACGTAGCGATGTCCGATTGCTTGCAGACGGAGAAGCAGCTACAGCTACAGCTCTTTAAGCTGTTCTACAATGAGCAGTACATTGACCACTACCAGGAGGAGCTGCTAACCAAGAGCAAGGAGATGGAGAAGATATCGGCGAAGAAGGAGAGGGTAGAGGAGCAGATCAAGGAGAAGAAGAAGGACCACGGAAGGCTGACACGCGAGCTGGCCAAGATAGAGCAACAGATAAGAGAGAGTGTGAGTGTCGCGTTCGTGTGAGATCTGTCCATCTGTCTGTCTGTCTGTCTGTCTGTCTGTCTGTCTGTCTGTCTGTCTGTCTGTCTGTCTGTCTGTCTGTCTGTCTGTCTGTCTGTCTGTCTGTCTGTCTGTGTGTCTACCTATTTGCCTGTCTGTTTCTCTGTCTACCTGTTCGTCTGTCTGTATTCTGCCTGGCTCTCTATCTGTTTTAAGTATTTATACATCTATAAACCTATAAGTCAATCATATATATATGAAGCTGAAATCAGACATGGTTACATTGTTACATTGTTTGGTATGTTTATAGGAGGTGGAACTGAACAAGAAAAGACCACTATACATTAAGGCAAAGGAGAAGACAGCTCACACTCAGAAGAAATTGGAGGCTGCAAAGTAAGCCGACAGCTTAGCATGATTGCTCTAATCTGATAGTGATAACATAGTACTAGTGTGATGATAGAGTAGGAAGTGTGTGAAGAGTCCAGGCTTCTTCGTTCCCTTATATATATTATACATATATATATATATGTATATATATATTATAAGGCTAAAAGGCAGACTAAAATGTGCATAGTGAATAAAGAGGTTGAAGACTATTTCATTTTGCATTGTCCATTTTATATTTGTATAAAGTTTTCATAAAATTGTGTTGTGATGTACTTCACAACATGAATGATAGCTGATGGCATGTTCTAATGCACGCAGGAAGTCGCTGAGAGCTGCGGAGAAGGCAAAGGAAACTCACGAGCAGGAGATCAAAGAGCTCGAGAAGGAGCTGGAGGAGGTGGAGAAGAAGAAGCTTGATTACGAGGAGCAGGTCCAGGAGGAGTCGCAGTCCCAGGGTAGGGACATGACGCTGGAGGACTCCCAGGTTAGTCTCGGGAGTAGGAAGGGGTGGGACACGACCCTGTCGGCTTCAACTGTCAATCAGGAAGGCTGTAGGAAATATTTGGTGACTGGTAGCCTGTGTAACACATCACATGTTCTTCTCAATGACACCATGTTGATTTCCTGTGAGATACAGCTATACTTGCTGGCATATACTAGCCTTAAGTTAAATTCTGTAACTTGGTTTAGTTTTCATGGATTACTATGTTAACTGATTTATATACATCAGCATGAAAAACCAGGTGATGCCATAATAAAAATATTGGTTGTTTGCCCTCACCCGACCGACCCGCCAAAAAGGGACAGACTCAATTATTGTTATTGATTTCCCATTCTTTTTTTTTCTTTTTTTTAAATTATATCACTGTACATTATATAAATCTGTAGGCAATACATTATATGTACCAAGCAAAACAATCATTCAACGTAAAAGGTATCTCCACACAAGCACACCCGAGCATGTAGACACCATGCTGAATTTGTAAAAAGACCCCTCCCCCTAAAAAAAAGCCTACCCTACTTACCCAAACTTTTCAGCCTGGGTCGGGTGAGGGCAAACAAACATTTGTTAATTGTTACCTGACCTATCCGTTTGAGCAAAATAACCTTGCCCTCTTGGATATTGTTGCTATGTCTGTCAAGCTAGACCAATTTATATGATTTTTTACATCATTTTTTTCAAACATGATGTTTTGCTCTGCTTGTCAGTGCTGGAACGGCATCACTTACAATGTTTCGTTTCTGACCAGGTTGCAGATTATAATCGCCTGAAGGAGGAGGCTGGGATGCGGGCGGCGCGCTACCACCAAGAGTTGGAATCCGTCAACCGGGAACAGAAAACCGATCAGGACAAACTGGACAATGAAATTCGGTACGCAGTCCATCTATCGTCTGCTGCATGAAGATAATGTGTGCGATTTCATCGTGGCTGCACTACCTAGATACACGCAGCTCTCTTTGTAGGCTCCTTGCTGAGATATTGCCAATTAGAGATTGGCAGGTCGTCATGGTGAGTGCGATAGTTCCACTTGACGGGACCCATGGGCGTGCGTCAGCCGTACTTCCCTGTGTGTGTGTGTGGTCCTAAGACACACACGGTACGGAACAGTCAATCCGTCTCGTAGCTGACCTTCGATATGCGCTTATTTCATTCTCCCACAGACGCAGAACCCTGTATCTTCGTTGTTGAACGGATAGCCAATATCATCGCTTATGCCACTCATTCTCATCATCCACAGCATCTTTTACTTGATCTTCTGAACGACCTGTGCTGTGTCTTGTCGTAACGAAGTTGAGTCAGCTCGCGATAGTCGAGTCTTATATGCACATCAACCACGCGGAGGTTCCCCTCGCGACTGTGCTGTTGTGGGCATAGCATCGGATTTCGTCAGCCTAAGGCTCCCAGCACCGAACAACGGGGTACGTGTAGACGAAGCGGCGCTGCGCCAACCCGTTGCCTCTTACGCACTTCGTGCCAAGGCACCGCCTTCCCGTGGCTGTGTGGTGACAACACCACGCGCTGCTGTCTTGATACGGGTTCCTCGACATTAAGATATCCACGGGTTACATTCTTCAGACCCCGCAAACGAAATACCTTCATATATATGTGTTCGTACATCTTAACATCCCTAAAGGTTGTTAGTGGCTGGTATCGTTTGCTGTGGGGTAGTCAGTCCGACACCGGCGTACGTTACGCGTGCCATTCTGTAAGCGTCGCCCAGAGCTCCCCCACCATACTATAGATTCTAAATGTCATTAGTCACCACACAGGATTCTCGCTTATCTTTACGGTTGGTTCAATTGTACTGTGCTGTGTGTGGTAGCCACGCACGCCGACACGTAGCACCATATTTTAGCGGTGCTCTAACCATTTCCAAACGCATACAACGGCATCTACGCAAACGCGTGGCGTGGCAGACAACTGTTATGAGATGCGCGTGTCTAACAAGGCGAAGGTGGTTGTAGCGTGTAGTTTACTCTCAAGCTGGGAACTATCGCATCTGTATAACGCTAGAATTACACGAAATGTACATCCACGGCTTACATTTACCACTATGGCTTATGTTGACGCCAACGATTGACACATTAAATGTATAAGCCTCGAATGCGGCTTTTACCACAAGGCAGAGCAAACTACAGTTGCTGCTTTGTAGGGGTTTTGCTCACTGCCCGGCACGGTCCTGAAACATGGTCTCGCATTAAACAGCACGTTGCAGCCGGTCAGCGGCTACCCCTGGGGGCTTATGGATTTGCCACTCCAATGCGGCTCTTACTAAGTTCATCGATCTTGAATCTTGAATTTACTCAGCCCAAAGATTAGCTGGCGATTGATTCTTCTCCACACACTGGATCATGTTGTTGCTCTCGTTGTAGGTGGAGCACTATTGAAGCCTGGGCGAGCCGTGCGACGTGTTTACCTCCCTTTCTTTTTCCCGCCTCTTGTAGACGCTCTTGCATGGTGTTCTTGGTCCAGTGGCAGCTCACCTGTCGCATAACTGGATCGATGCTTCGATTTGGCCAACTTTCCGTTATGAAGTTTAACCAACTTCACGCGAAGTCAGGATAAGGCGTTCACTGTTCTCCGATACATGGTCGCAGGGATGGTGCAGTGGTTCTAACGTCCCCACCGGTAGTCTCTTGACATAGCGGCGCATGTACCGCCGTCTCGTTGTTACGATGTCATTTTATACACTCTCCTGAGAGTTCAGCCTCATTATAGCGCGCTCATCTGTTGTTTCAGCCAGGTCAGCTCGTGGTACTCAGCATCGCGATCGACGAGCATGCGTTTTGATCAATATGTTCGTAACTCTCGGAGTACCTGAGTCATCACTCGCCGTACATTGCACAAGCTCTCTTACGATACGCTCTAGAGCACCGGACAGGTGCACACGCTCTTTCCGAACTGGCTCGTCTAGAATGCTTACCTTGCCCTGTCGTATGTGCTGTGGGTGGTGAGCCCGTGATCCGCCACCACCGGCACGATGAGGGCACATGGATCGTATGGACGGCATGCCTTTGCGTTTTATAGCTGGGTATAGTGGCAATAGCCTTGTAAGGCTTCGAACTGGTCGAATTGCCAGCGCAGGTGAGGGAGCTCTCGGACACTATGATCGGTCTAGCTTCGTCAATACCGGCATGAAGGAATGGTAATTCAAGGGGTGCCATTGGAAGCCTGCTATCTCCACCTCGGTAGATTCGATGATTGCTTTAATAGATCTTGAGCGCAAGCCGATGTCATGAAAGGTCTGGCCGCCACCGTGGCTGCGTGTGGTAGCCACCCACGACTGTCCCCACCGGCAGGCGTTGTTCCTCCATGCGGCACTTTCCTTCAGCTGTCTCTCTGCTTTACCCTTACACGGCAGCATTCACCATGTGCGAGGGTTTTCATCATTTGCGTCCTGCAGCTTGGCGGTGAAAATATCTGTCGATATCGTCTATATCCGTTTCCTCGTCTATAAGTTGGCCGTGTTACGTCGTGCCCTATGGCGATCCTGAAGCGTGGCTTCACTTATCGAGTCTGTTTTGCGTCACGTTGTTCTCTGCCGGTTGCATATCTGGTATAGTCACAGCCATTAACCGACCCGGTTCCCCCGCTTAAGGTGCTTCGTGTATGTTCTGGCAGGCCACGCACTGTCCCAGATTGTCAGCCGCAGCCGTTCAGCTGTGTGTCGCTTTGTGTGGGAAGGTCCCTCATCACTCGGCCATCTGCTCCGCCATCCTGTGCGTTCGCTGCGTGGGTATCCTATATGCACTTTGCTACGTGCACTGGTCTCAACTCCTTGCGAATGCTTGTTGACATTGGCTTGTTTGGGTCATTGTAAAGTGCCAGCAGCATCGTTGCATCGCGTGTTGCCTCCTTGTGATACTTTTATCACTGTAGTCGCGGTCTACAACGAATAATGCCAGGCCGACACATTTTTCTTGTCTTCTACTCGTTTTATTTCGCAAGCTCAGGTTGCTGTGTGGCTAGTCACACCACAGACCGGTTCCCCGTGCTGTGTGTGGTAGGCCACGCACTGGCCGTCCCGCGTGCTGTGTGGAGTCACGCGTGCGCCCAGGTACGTCACCCACAGAGTGTGGCGCACCATGCAGTAGCAGGGTCGAAGCTTGCTGTTGTGGTAGCCAGCATCACGCGGCAAGCGAGTCCCCCAAGATTTGTAATACGCTTTAAACCCCGTTCATTTAACATGCTTATATAAATTTAACCAAAACCCTAGGCGTGTGCTTTAGTTTGTGTAGCTACCACAGCACAGACTAAGAAAGAGTCGTCCCCTCTAAAGCTCTGTCACTGTAAATTACGACATCAGTTGGCAGTGACATAAAGGAAAAATATAATATCACAGTGATATACGAGGCTTTCTTGCACTCACAACTGCCCGCGGACTGTTAACTGGTGATAGTCTCAGCACACGTGCCGCACACGACTCTCAAAACTAGAACGACAAATGCCACGTCCTAAACGCCAGCCCAGACCCCGAGAAGCGCGAATGCATACATGAATAGGGGCCCAGGACGACAAAAACGCGCGACCGGCGCAGTACATAGGATTTAGTGGTGCCGCTGTAATGATCGAGATGAGCGCACTACGCTACAACAACTATTGATGCGCTGATCCTACCGGCGTAAGCACTATGCACTATGGCTGACTGTCTAGGTGCTCAAGGCCTCTGGCAACGCCAATGCAGCTACAGTGTAGGTGCAGCCTATGCAGCCCTAGATTGACACTACCCTCACTTATGGCAGTATGCCTAATGCATATGCACCTATGCAATATGCAGCCATGCCCAATGCACCAATGCACTATGCGCACTCAGTCGCGTGGCATTGTGAGGCCCTAATGCACATCATGCCCTACATAGCGCATGATGCGTATGCAGCTATCGCGTCGTCTGCACTTATGCCCTAACCGTGTAATGGCACTAACTGAGCACTATGGCACTATGCATTATGCACTATGCAACTATGCACTTGCACGGGTGCTGTGGCTGAGTGAGTGCACTACTCGTATCAGTCAGCCACTAGTGCACTATGCGCTATGCAGCTCATGCTCGCATTCGACCCACCATGCCGCATGCACTATGCACTTGGCTAGCTTATAGTGCGAAATATGGCGCTACAGCTGAACCTATACACTATGCACTAGGTGCCATAGGCACCTACAGTGTATGACCCAGCTGTGCACTTATGCATTATGCATTATGCAACTATGCACTACAGTGTACTGGGTCAGCTATGCCACCTGATGCAGTGGGTTGCGGATGCACTAGTGGCACAACTCAGTGCACGCCACTATGCGACGCGTGCGCACTGATGCACCAACTCGCGTCACTCTGCACTATGCGACTATGCAGCTGTGCACTAACTGCGCTATGCACTATGCACTATGCACTATACACTATGCACTATGCCAGTAGCATATGCACCATGCACTATGCAGCTAATGCACTATGCACTAATGCACTAGTGACTATGGCGCTGATGCACTATGCACTATGCACTCATGCACTAGACCGCTGTATGCACTTAGTGGTCGCTAGCTTAATGGCCCACTTACGCAATTACATGCACATATGCACTAAAGCACTATGCTCTAATGCCTATGCCACTATGCACCATGGGACCGGCATGGCAGCCATGCACCTGATGGCACTATGCAGTCATGCACCATGCACTATGGCACTATGAACTATGCACTATGCCGCTATGCACTATGGCGACATCTGCACTAGTGCACTACATGCATTACAGTGTATGCACTCATGCTCTATGCAGCTCGGCAGCTATGCACTCTGCATATGGGGCACTACAGTGTATGCACTAATGCACGATGCACGATGGCACTCGTATTGTGCAGATGCACTATGCAGTATGGCACATATGTCATCCAAGTCGCACCTACACGCACGACGCTATGCACTATGCAGGGGACCGGATCCCGTCACCGTGCTGTGTGTAGCCACGCGTCCGCGTCCCGTGCTGTGTGGTAGCCACACACGCCGTCCCCGTGCTGTGTGGTAGCGCACACATGCCGTCCCCGTAGTTGCGTGTGGTACCACACACGCTGTTCCCCGGTGCTGTGTGGTAGCCATGCCAATATGAGGCAGCCGTCTGTGCTGTGTGGTACCACACACGCCATCCCGTGCTGTGTGGTAGCCACACACAGCGTTCCTGGATTGTGCTGTGTGGCAGCCACGCACGGCGCGTCCCAAGGTGCTGTGGTGGTAGCCACAACACAGCCGTCCCCAGGTGCTGTGTGGTACCACGCACGCTGCCACCCTGGTGCTGTGTGGTAGCCACACACCGCCGGCCACGCGGAGTGGCTGTGTGGGTGCGCACACAGCGTCGTCGGCCCGGTGTGTGTGGTAGCCACACACGCGCGTCCCCGGTGCTGTGTGGTAAGCGCACACACCGTGACCCGTGCTGCTGTGTGGTAGCCACAGGCGTCGTCGTCCCCCGTCGTGTGTAGGACCACAACGCCGTCCCGGACGTGGCTGTGTGGTAGGCCACGTACGCACGACAGGAGCCGCCACCGTGCTGTGTGGTAGCCACGCACGCCGTCCCCCGGTGCTGTGTGGTAGCCACGGCACAGGTTGAAGTATGGGAGACCGTCCCCAAGTGCTGTGGTGGTACCACGCCCGGAGAGAAAGCGATTAGCCGTCTGCCGTGCTGCTGTGTCGGTAGCCACGCGTCGTCGTCCGCCGTGCGTGTGGTAGCCACACACGCCGTCCCGCCGTGCTTGTGTGAGCCAGCACACCGCACACGGTGCGTTGTGTAGCCAGCGCCGCCGTCCCCTGGTGCGTGTGTGGTAGTCCAGCGCACAGGGCGCGTCCCCGTGCTGTGTGGTAGCCAACGCACGGCTGTCGCTCCGTGCTGTGTGGTAGCCAGCAGCACGCCGTCCCCAGAATTGTGGCTGGTGGTAGCCACAGCACGCCATCCCGTGCTGTGATGGTAGCCAACGCCACGAGAGTCGTCCCCGTGCTGTGGTGGTAGCCCGCGTCGTCGTCCCCGTGCTGTGTGGTAGCGCACGCACGGGAGCCAGCCCCGTGCTGTGTGGTAGCCCACACACGGCCGTCCGTGCTGTGTGGTAGGCCAGCGCGTCGCCGTCCCGGGTGCTGTGTGGTAGCCAGCACAACGGCGCGTCCCCAAGTGCTGTGTGGTACCATCGCACGTGCCGTCCCCGTGCTGTGGTGGTAGCGCGACACACGCGCTCCCGTGCTGTGTGGACGCCAAACACGCCGTCCCGGGTGGCTGTGTGGTAGCCACACACAACGGGTAGATGGGGGCGGACCCGTGGCCGTCCCCCGTGCCTGTGTGGTGAGCCACCAACGCCGTCCCGTATGTGTGGTAAGCCAAGCGCGTCGCCGTCCCGTGCTGTGTGGTAAGCGCACACACCCGTCCCCGTGCTGTGTGGTAGCCAGCGCGTGCGGCCGTCCCGCACGGGTGCTGTGTGCTAGCCACAGCACGCCTTTCCCGTTGGCTGTGTGTAGCCACGCGTCGCCGTCCCGTGCTGTGTGGTAGCCACACACGCCGTCCCCCGTGCTGTGTGGTAGCCTACACACGCCGTCGCCTGCTGTGTGGTTAGCCACAAAAAGCCGTCCCCAGTGCTGTGTGGTAGCCACCACACGCCATCCCCGGGTGCTGTGTGCGTAGGCCACGAGCACGCCGTCGTGAGTGATACGAGATGAGGATTGTTGTAATAATCAGTGTAGTGATTACAGAGGATGAGGCATGAGATCTTTATTTATATTATGTAATTATATATATACATGATCTTTATGTATGTATTTGTATTATATTTATTTATTTATTGTATTTACACATATACTTCAAATTATTTAGCCTATATAGAGGTTACTAACTTGGTCGGCTATGAGTGTACTGACCGTCAGGTGATGTTTTAGCGTGGTACAACCGAGTGCATGCGCGGGCGGCCTGAAAGAAGCAGGAGCTATTGAGAAGTTTACAGCGCTGTTCCCTGGAGTGGTAAGTCTTCTATTCATTCAGATTAGATTGCGTGTGAAGGCTTTTTGGTGTCGCTAAAGTCATTCCGCAATTTCACAGTATTTTAGCAGCAGGAAAATCAGAAAGAATTCAAGTTTAAAGTAAGTTTGTTGTTTAGCAAGTAGGCTGATATACGCGAATATATAAAAATAAAAATAATAATT